CTATTTTTGTTGTGTCTGTTTTTGAAAATTCAATTTTTGCTTTTCCATTTTTAATTCTGAAATTCTAGATTCTGTTTTTGATACTGATTTAGCTCCCATAGGATATGATGATGCTGTTGTGCAGAATTTTTCACAGATTATAGGTGCTAAAATCAAACCATCGGAAGCAACTCTAAGATTAGCACCTTCTATCCTAGAGCCACCCACCTTGGAACTGAAGCCTGATGTATGATTATCATAATGAGTATTGGGATGAACAATTGATTAAAAATTTTGTAGAAAACACAGAAATTGGAATTTGAAATTTCTGAGATAAGCAGTTTACAAATTGATTTTTAAAGAATGGAGGACAAGCAAAAATTCAAGTTTGGGGTAGTGATGAATCCATATTTTTACTAATATTTTAGCATAGTTCTAACCTATTTGATAAGGAAAATATATGAGAAAAGAAAAACTCAGAAAAATAGAATGATTGAAAGTTTTATTTCAATTTGTAGTTATTTTAGCATTGGTGAGATTTCTGCTTAGAAATTAAGAATTTAATCTTGTTTTGGTAAGAATAATCTGAGCAAGGTTCATGGAAATGGAAGATCAATGGAAAGGAAGAAGAGTAGTAATTCTGGGCTCAAAACACAAGAATTCTGGAATACAAGCTGGGCGTGATCACTATTGTGAAAGTGATCGTTCTAGAGCTTAAAAAAAGAAGGAAGTTTGGGCGTGGTTACTCTTACCAGCAAAAGTGAGAGTTCCAAAGAGTTTCTTAGAAGAACATTTGTGCGTTAACACTCTTGCTGGCGAGAGTGAGTGTTCCAGAGAACCTCAATCTCAGCAAACCTCTGTGTGACCACTCTCGCTAGCGAAAGTGAGTGTTCCAGAGAGACTAAATTTTAGCAAGCTCTGCGTAACCACTTTTACCAGTGAAAGTGGATGTTCCAGAGAGACCTTAACTTGGGAAGTTGCGCGTGGCCACTTCTACTCATGAAAGTGAATGCGCGTAACCACTCAACCTTCTGCATTGCAACTCTTATCATTAGAAGTGATAGTTCTAGTCTTCTAGAATCACATAAGCTTCTGCGTGGCCACTCTTGTGAAGTAAAGTGACAATGCCCAGAGTCGGGAATTCTTATAAATACTAGAGCAAGCTCAGATCTCGTGGTCTTTTGTTCATTTTCCATTTTTTTCTGTTAGATTCTCATTGAGAGAAAGTGAGAGAGAGGATTGGGGTTGAACCTCGAAGCTCCAAGAAGAGCAATTGGATTGGAGCTTGTGAAGATGGCTTCTTTAAGTTTCTTTTCTTCTTCTCCTTCTTTCTCTTTCTCTGTTACAATGTCTGCTTAATTCTTCATAGTTAGGAGTTTATGGACCTTGAATTGATGTATTGATTCGTTTCTTGTTTCTGAAATTTGAGTTCTTAGATTAATTGAGTTGTTAATTCTGCTGTCATTGCAATCTTTGAATGAGAATTCGTATGATTAATCAAAGAGGAACATTTGCCAATGGAAGTTGGATTTGCTTCTCTGATCTGAATTAGCAACCAGAATTAGGGAATTCTTAGGGATAAGGGAACCTAATCCTGCAATCCTACGATTCTAATTGTTAATGCAACTTGAAATTGAATTTCACCTAAGGGATTAGGAATGTTTAGTTTATTGTTAGGGTCAATGAGTTAAGGGATTAACCTTTGACTAGTTGTATGTGAAACTGATTGTCAATTAACCAATTGCTTGAATGTTCAGAGGTTTAATTGAATTAATATTGATATTCTTGTGAAATAAATTCCTAAGTATCCTTCAATTGTATCTCATCTCAACACAACTTTTATACTCTATTTTACTGCAAGTATAATTCTTTGTATTGTTCTAGTTTATTACTTTTATATGTTACAACCTTTCCAAATTTGTATGACTAAACTAGTTTTTGACCTAAGAAGTGGTAATTGATTTCCTAATTCCCTGTGGAGACTGTAACATCCTATGCTTTGTGTCATGCCTGTAGTATATTAATGAGAAAAATCTGTAGTACTTTGTGAGCAGAAAGAAACTGTGTATGTACAGTAACCCCTAATGTCAATAGTGACATAACGCTGATGTCATCGGTGACATCATCGCTTACATCATCGCTGACCTCACGCTGACATCATCGCTTATGTCATTGGTGATCTCACGCTGACATCATCGCTTACATCATCAGTGACATCATGCTGATGTCATCGCTTGCATCATGCTGACATCATCGCTTACATCACGTTGACGCTGACATCATCGCTTACATCATGCTGACATCATTGCTTACATCACGATTGACGCTGACATCATCGCTTGCATCATGCTGACATCATCGCTTACATCACAGTGACGCTGACATCTTCAAAAAAAATTTCTATAAATAGGGGGCTTCACATGAAATTTTCATTCCCACCCAAGGTTCTCGAAGGTTCTAAGGTCATAGCTCGCCATTCTGTCCTATACTAAACCTCCTAAACTTAGATTTCTCTTCAGATCTGTGATTCTACGTCCGTTCTAAAGGATTTCAAGTAAGTTTCTCTAAGTTTGAAGTTACATTTACCGTTTGTTTCTCTTCTTCTTCTTTTTCTTATAGATGTTCATGATGTTCTTAGGAAAACCTCTGTTCTAGAGTTAAATCTTCGGTTAAATCCTTGTAAAAGCTCTATTTTGAGGTAAGGGAAGGCTCTACTTTATCATTTTGTTATGCTTATTAATCGTATTCCCATAGATCTTGTCATGTATGTGATTATATGTGGAATAATCCTTATTTTATGAAAAATAATCGGTGAAAAGTGAGAATAATTGATTGTTTATGTGATTTTATGCTGAGTACATGGTGAAATTGTGATATTATGGGCATGATAAGGTATATTGAGGATGGTTGATAGGATTTTATGATTTTGTGATATGAAATATACGAAGAGATGGATGTTTCATGTTTGAATATATTGTGTTTTATGTAAAAATGATGTGTATTGTGAATATGCCATGGTTTGATGTATATGATGAAAAGTATGTGGAAATATAATGAAAAATATGTGTAAACATAATAAATGGCATATGTGAACATGTGAATATACTCGAAAGAGTATGACATGGAAAAAGATATGATGTAAATAGTTACAGAGATACACTGGGGAGTGGAAGATGGAGACGATATGGGATATCTTGGGGAAATGCAGGGTGGTGAGTGACATTCGAGATTATGCACGAAATATTGTGTTCGAATGCACCACATGGCCACACACTCATTTCTCGACTTGACTCCTGACCATTACCTTTGCTAAGGGGCCGTCTATTGCATGCGTTGTATCTGTATTGCATTGGGCCATCCGGCGACTATTTACATGGATGTGTAAGACCTCGGGATAGAGGCATCGGATAACTGTGGCCACAGGGCGCGGTAAGCGCAGATAAAAGTAAAAGAAATTGTGAATCTGTAATACACATTGAGATGAGAATATGCTTTATATGACCCTGTGATATGTAATGCCATGATGTTTTCTTTAATCGTGATAAGATGTGTTTTGTGAAGAATGTATGTGTTATGTATGAGTGGTAGGGTAGAGACTCACCCTTACACAACATTTTTCAGGAAACCAGGACGAATAGTACCAGGCTCACAGTGCATGGATGGATGAGAACTGCTATAGGACTTAGTTATTTTGAGTTATGTAATGAATATTTTCAGTTCTATAGTATTCTTTTGAAACAGTTGTAAAACTACTCTTCTTTTTATTGCTGATGAAAATTCTAGAATCTTTGTTTTTCTAAAGTACTTATAAATTAATAAAATTTTAATCTATGAACTTTATATCATTTCCATGTCTGTTCTATTTAGAGAGTTTTTGAAAGAAAAAAAAAATTTACTCTACTAATTAACTTTTTATGAAAATTTATTATATATTGAGAAAAGAAATATAAGGCGTTACAATTTTGGTATCAGAGCAGTTCATCCAGACCAGACTGGGGTATGGGACTAACATGTCTGTGTTGTGTAATAGATATACTAGAATATGAAATGATTATTTGCTAATATGACTTGTTAGATGTGAATTACGTGAACTAGATCTATCTATGATAGATTAATAAGTGATTTGAGTTTATTGCATGATTGGAGCTATGGCTGGTAGAGGTAGACCTGCTGGTGCTACAAATAAACTCCTGGAGCGCATGACCCAAGTCTTAGAGACTTTGGCACATAACCAGGAGGCTGAACCAGCCGAGTATAGAGGACTTTCTTCTTTTACTAGGCATAACCCTCCAAAATTTGAGGGAAAGTTTGATCCTGAGGGAGCTCAGAGGTGGATAACAGACATGGAGAAAATTTTCCATGCCATGGGATGTAGAGATGAGCATAAAGTAACTTATGCTACTTATATGCTGAGTGGAGAAGCTGAGAATTGGTGGAGATTTGCTAGTCAAACTCTACTGCAAGAAGATGGTTATATTCCTTGGGAGACATTCAAGGCAACCTTCTTGGGAAATTATTTTCCTAGAGATTTAAAGAAACAGAAGGCTAGAGAGTTCCTTGAGTTGAAACAAGGAAACATGTCTGTAGGTGGATATGCTGCTAAATTTCATGAATTGATGAAATACTGGCCTCACTATCAACATAATGATGGAGAGGAAGATCTATGTGCTCAATTTGAACATGGGCTTAGGCCAGATATTCGAGCTACCGTTAGTGTATTCCAGCTGACAGAATTACCCACTTTAGTGAGTAAATGCAGAATATTTGAAGCCAATACTAAGGGTAAGACAGTAGATACCAGAATCGGTGGTCCTGTGAGGCAAGACTGAAGGCCTCCAAGATTTTCTAGAGGACCTTACTCTAGTCCAAATTAGTCTCAAGTGAAGGGGACTGTATCTCAAGAAGATAGTAGTGGTGGTTCAGGTTCTTTCAGAAGGCCACTAAAATGTTTCAAGTGTGGTGGACCTCATATTAAAAAGAATTGTCCTCAACTTCCACCAACATGTGACATTTGTGGGAAAATGGGACACTCTGCTAGTGTCTGTTGGTCTGCTCCACAAAAGAGCGGGAGCATGAGTGTGGAACAAAGACCTAAATCTAGAGCAAGCACTGGAACAAAGCCAAATGTGAAAGGCAAAGTTTTTGCTATGAGTGGAGCCGAGGCTTCAAAATCAGAGGAGCTTATTAGAGGTAAATGTATCATAAAAGACCGACTTATAGATGTGTTGTTTGATTCTGGTGCTACTCATTCCTTTATTTCTGTGGATTGTATGAGATGTCTAGAATTACCTGTATCTGAATTGTCTTGTGATGTTATTGTATCTACTCCTACGGGTAAACCCGTAGCAACTTCTTCTGTATGTCTAGGTTGTCCTGTGATGGTACATGGTAGGAGTTTTAGTATAGATTTGATTTGTTTACCTCTTTCCCAACTTGATGTAATTTTGGGAATGGATTGGTTGTCATCTAACCATGTTCTATTGGATTGTAAAGAGAAAGTCTTGATTTTTGGCACTAAAGTATCAGAAAGTGCTAAACTCTTAGGTCCAGATCCATTGGAAAATGTAATGAGTGCTAAGGCTTTCATGGTTCTATTTTCAATTGAGACTGAAAAGGAAATGAAGCCTGAGTATATCCCAGTGGTTAGAGATTTTTTAGAAGTTTTCCCTGATGATGTAACTAAATTGCCACCGGAAAGAGAGATTGAGTTTACTATTGATCTCATTCCGGGAGTAAATCCTATTTCTGTTGCACCATATAGGATGTCACCAGTGGAGTTGGCTGAGGTAAATTTTGTTTGCAATCTAACACTAGCAAGTGCACTAGGATTGCAGCAAGTGATGAGTAAATTTAAGATCAGAATATCGTCTCCACAGGGAATTTAGGTTTCAAGTACCACTTCACAGAATTATAACCATTTGAGCCATACGAATTTTTGAAGGAGATTTGTAACATATAACAGCAATAAACCAAAGCAATTAAAGCAAAGAACTTGCAGAGAAATAGAGTATAAGATTTGTGATGAAATGAAATAGCAATGAAGGATAGTTAGGAATTTACTTCACAAGAATATCAATATCAATCCAATTAAATCCTCTGAACATTCAAGCAATTGAATAATTGACAATCAGTTTCACATATATCTAGCCAAAGGTTAATTCCTTAACTCATTGACCCTAACAATCCACTAAACCTCCCTAATCCCTTAGGTGAGATTCAATTTCAGGTTGCATTAAGAATTAGAACTATAAGATTGCAGAATTAGGTCTCCTTATCCCTAAGAAATCCCTAAACTCTGGTTGCCAATTCAGATCGGAGCAAACAATCCAATTCCCATTGGTAAAGATTCCTCTTGATTAATCAAATGAATTTCCATTCAGAGATTGCATGAAAAGCAGAATTAACAACTCAATTAATCCAAGAACTTAAAGTTCAGAAGATAAAGTCGAATCAATACATCAATTCGAGTTCCATAAACCCCTAACTATGGGAAATTAAGCACACATTGCAACAAAAACAGAGAAAGAAGAAGAAGAAGATGAAGAAGAATGCAGAACAGCCATGGCCACGAGCTCCAATCCGATCCCTCTTCTTGGAGCTTCAAGCTTCGACCCCAATCTTCTCTCCACTCTCTCTCAACGAGACTCTAACTAACAAAACAGAAAATGAGCAAAAAGATCCCAGTTTCGCGCTTCAATCAGGTATTTATAAAAACCCAGTTCTGCGCGTTGTCACTTTTCTTCACAAGAGTAACCACGCAGAAGCTTTATGTAGTGTGCGTGTTCACTTTCAAGAGCAAGAGTAACCACGCGCAACTTGCAGAGTTGAAGGCTTCTCTGGAACATTCACTTTTGTTCATAATAGTGGCAACGCAGGAGGTCAAGGGCAGCGCGTGACCACTTTCGTGAGTAATAGTAACCACGCGCAAGCTGTCCTGATACAAGTGCCTCTGGAACGCTCACTTTCGTTGGCGAAAGTGACAACGCGCAGCTCATCAGGAATGAAGTCTCTCTGGAACGTTCACTTTCGTTGGCGAAAGTGATAACGCACACTGGCAACGCTCACTTTCACTAACAATAGTGATCACGCCCAGGCTGCAACCCATAATTCTTGTATTTTGGAGTCCAGCATTGCCATTCTTCCTCTTCCTTCCCATTGATTCTCCATTTCCATGACTTTTGCTCAGCTTATTCCTTCAAAACAAGATAAATTCCTTAAGAACTAAGTATAAATTCTACAAATGCGAAAATAACTACAAATTGAATTAAAACTTTCAATCATTCTCTTTTTCTGAGTTTTTCTGCTTTCTTCATATATTTTTCTTATTAAATGAGCTAGAATTATGCTAAAATATCAGTAAAAATATGGATTCATCACCACCCCAAACTTGAATTTTTGCTTGTCCTCAAGCAAATCAAACTAAACCAAGGGTAAGTTCCTCTATTTTCAAATTCAGTTCATAAACTGCTTATTTCAAATTTTTCTAATTTCTAATTCTATGTTTTCTGCAAAATTTTCAATCAGGTTGTTTATCCAAATGCTCATCATGATATTTCTACTGCATAATCATCATTGAGTAAAAATTGCTACCTAAGTTCATATATTTCATCAAAATTCATGTGAGTACAATTAATCAACATGATCACAGCTTACTTGGAAGTGTTTCTCTCATCACTCAACAGTGTTTAGGTGCTGTTTTCACTCTAAATCATCAATTTCACTGCACTCTACCATATGCTTGCCCAATTTCTCCATCTCCTCTGCTTAGTACAATTAATCACATATCTAGAGGACTTTTTCAGGTTATAACAAGGCTAAGGTTTAAGGTAGGTATCAAAGAAAATGGAAAACAATACATGCAGTTTCAAAAGATCAGAGGCATTTTGAGTGATTTGTTTTAAAACTAGCCTGGATCTACATTATTCCTCCTTAATTCTCTCACTTATGTAGCAAACAGAATTTTTCTTGCAGCAGAATTTTCATCTCTTTTCTTCTTTTCTTACTTTCAGTCACTATCTTCTTTTCTGCAGCACTTTGCTGCACTTCTTTTCTTTTGAACTCACATTTTTGTTCTTTTCACAGCTTTGCTTCATATATTTTTCATTTTACTGCAGCACTTTTCTTCTTTCTTTCTGGTTTGTTGAACTCCAACTTAGATAGCATGCTATTTCCCTATTTCACACCCCAAACTTAGAACATTGCTTGTCCTCAAGCAATTAAAATCTGGATGCCACCCCAAACTTAGTTTTAAAACTCATTCTTGATTAAACTCATTATGCCTTTGATCTTTTGAATGGTAAAAATTGGTTTTTCAGGCAAGGCTTTATAATGAGGTAATTTCAAGAAAAGGGATATTAAGCTCAAAAGGGTGAACTAAGACATTCAATCATAAAGGGAGGCTTTTAGGCTGACTAGGTATAATCAAACATGGCCTCTATCATGTGGGTGAAAACTGTAGCATGCATATTCAATTAAGAACAAGGGCAAGTTCTAGAGAATACAGCCAAATATGATTAATCACACAAGAAAAGAATTAGACAGCTCAAATCTCACTAGGTATTTATAAGTGATCATGTGGATTAATGAAAACACAATACACTTTTCAGAAATTTATGCACCTAGTGGCAACTGCCTCATTTTTGAAAATACAAGTGTGATCTCATTTTGAGAATAGGAAAAACAACTAAAAAAAAAATTCACACAGAATTCACAAAATTGTCACTCATCTTGCAGTTAATTTGCAGAAAACAGCTCATAACCTAGACTATTATCAGTAAATCTTCAGTGTATTGTGTAGCTAACACATGAATCAAGAGGTAAGGAATAACCCCCCTTTCATGGCAGCTTGTGCAGGTGTCATCAGCCAATGTGTGTGAGTGTTGTGTGAGTGTGACATTTTCTGCACAAAACACCAAAAATTTCGTTAATTAGCAAGTGAAAAAGGGATTGAATTCTGCATAATTAATGTGTGTTCAAAACATAATTGTTCAGTATTAGCATGAAACCAAAATATACCAAGTGTGCAAATTACAAACCCAAATTCTAAAATGAAACCAAAAAGTTTGAAACTTAATTACAAAACCATCAAGAGAAAATTCGAATTAATAGAAAAGAAAACAAAAAATCCTAAACTAGTCATCTTGAGCATCCTCCTCATCAGAAATTTCATCTTCATCTTCTTCCTCATCCTCCTCATCTTCTTCTTCCTCCACCACTTCTTCAGTTGGCTGTGGAAAATGAGTCTTGTATATTGGCAAGTCTTTAAAAACTGATGAGCGTAGACATTGAGCATTCTCAGCCAAGTCTGGTGTGTGATAAAGTTCATCTTTGGTCATTCCCATCTTCTGACCAAGATTCATCAACACACATTCCACTAGCATGGTTCCTGCCTTCAAACTGTTGTGGAGCTCTGTTTGTCGTTCAGCCAATTGATTTTTCCTTTCAACCAAGAGATGTAGGATGTCCTTCATCTTCATTGGTTTCTCCTTTCTGAACTGAGTAGGGATAGGTGCAGCTGAAGTGCAGGAGGTGGTGGCATAGATTTCCTTTACCATTGAGACAGAGATAGGGGGAGCAGATCTGATTTTCTCTTGGTAGTCTCCAACTTCAACCCCTGCATCCTCACAAAGTAAAGTGATTAATGAGGGAAAGGCTAGTGAATCTCTTTTTGTTTTCAGAATATTTAAGATACATTCACTAATTACTTCCCCTGCATCAATGTACATATCATTAACAATAGCAAACAATAATTCAGCCCTCTTTACTGCCAGGGTTGAACTATGCTTGACTGGCATGAAAGAATTCAATAGAAAGGTACTCCAGACTTTAGCAAATGGTAGTAGGTTCTTGGTGGTGATGCACTTGGGTTTCTGGGCGAGGTTCAGCTGCCAAGTTGTGCCTGGCCTTCCAATTCTGTGCAGGATTTCAATATAATCCTTGTCTTGACTATTCTTAAAGTCAGTGAAGTCCATCTGCCCAGGTTGTCTTTCAGTGTAAATTTCCAGCACTCGATTGATGTTGGCAGCAGTGAAATCCACCCTCATACCCTTGACCATTGTGTGAAATTTGGGAATTTGGTCTCCCTTGAACCGCATTGCATTTGCATAAAACTCCTGTGTAATTTCTCTCCAACCTTTGTCAGCCAAAGAGCAGAAGTTGTCCCATCCCCTTTTCTGAATTTCTTCTGAGTACTCAGGGTAGTTACCTTCAGCAATTTCAAAGGCTCTATCTGGGACAATCTTCCTCCTCAGAATATTTGCCTTGAAATAATTTTCGTGAGCTATACTCCTGAACCTTGGATCATGATCAGTATAGGTAGAGGTAGAAGGAGCATTTCTTCTGGTCGGCTGAGGTGGTGAAGAGGTTGCAGGTGTGGTTACACTTGGCTGAGGAGGGTCAGCAATTTCAATGGGTGAGGAAGGTGAGACACCATCAGTTCTTGCTCTTTTAGTGGTTGAATAATTCCTGGCTGTTCTAGCTTGCAGATTCCTGATAGATCTCCTTCTTGGAGTGTTGCTGGCATATCCAGCTTTGGTCTTCTTAGAAGGTCCAACTGGTGTATTCAAAGAAGTTCTGACCATTTTGAAGTGACTACAAAAACAAGCAAGTAATTTGACAGTTTAAAATTCATGACACAGAATTGTGACAGTATACATCTCTTTACTAGATAAATTCAATCAATCCATGTGTATAATTCCAACTTGCAGTATGTATCTATTTACAATCAGTTGCTGTCATGAGAATGTAATCATATCAATACACAAGCACTATTGCAAATTACTAAGCAATCACAGTCAAAATTGGTTAAACCTTTAAATTTGTAGTTTAGAGTGCACACTCTCAAAGCACATCAGGTTAACACAGAGATGCTATTATAGGTCATCAGCATATATTTTTTTTTTTTTACATGCTCTCTTAACTTTTCAGATACACCAGAACTTAGGTACAAAATTAATCAAACCATATTCAGGGGATTTTAAACTGGCCTTCATAATTTGTAAACTCAACGTTCACAATTTCACCAAGAATGCAGAAAAAGAATCACAATTTTCAACCAAATTTCAACTACTAATGATTCCTAAAAGAAATTTTCTTCTGACAGTGAAATTCATCCAGAATATTGCCTATTATTTCTTTGAATCACATACAATTAGGACAGTGCACTCATTCATTATCATCAAAGACTAAAGATCAGCTTAATGCAGGACTTATCAATATGGTATCTGTACAATCATGCAGTGCAATAGACAGCAGTAACTCATTCCATACAACTCAGTTCAGACATCAACATTCAAATATTGCATGCAAGGAGTATTTTCGTTGATGGCAACTGGAGTATTTCTATTTCTTTCAAAGTCATTTTCAGATTTTTTCCGCATAATGCAGATGTGCATATGTTAACAGAGGAGATTGAATGACTTTGAAACCCTATTCACAGTATTTAAAGTTACTTATATCAATTACGCTCAAGATATTTCCCCATTTGCCATTTTTGACATTTTTCCAGAGTTGCAGCAAAGAAAAACCCTAAATACAATTTCAGAGAATGCAAAGAGCGTACCTGGAGCTTCAAAAATGTGAATGACAATGAAAAAGAGGGAGAAATTGCTTGCTGGTTGCTTCACGAAAGATTGAAAGTCAGAGAAATTCAGAGGGAAATGGGATTTAGGTTTAAATGGATGTGAGCGTGGTTCCTTTATATGGAATTTGGGGTCACACGTGTGCACGTGCCCACTTTTTAAGTGAGAAGTGAACGTTCCCTTTTAAAAAAAATTCTGCGTTGTCACTCTTGTCGAACAGAGTGAATGTTCCAGAGAACTTGAAAATTTTGAATGCAATGCGCGTTATCACTATTGCTGGGCAAAGTGATAACGCGCAAGCTTATTGCTTGAGCGTAGGTACTTTTATCAGTAAAAGGAGTAACGCGCTATGAAATATTCTATACTTACCTGCGCGTGATCACTCTTGACAAGGAAAGGAAGTGATCCAGAGAGTGTGTTTTTCTCATCTGCCTCTGCGTTATCACTCTCATCAGCGAGAGTGATTGTTCCAGAGAGCTGTGTTTCCCAGTCAGTTTCTGCGTTATCACTCTCATCAACGAGAGTGATTGTTCCAGAGGGGACATCTCAGAATTCCATCTCTGCTTGATTGCTTTCCTGCAAAAGAGTGATTCCTTTCATCAATCCAAGTTCTCTAAACTTTAATTGGCTCACTTAACAAATCATAATCATTCCAATACACACTCACCATATAAAATACCTATTTCTCTCATCATGTTCACCTTTAATTACATATGCAACATTCATCCAAGGCTGAATTCTCTAGAATTTCTGCTTAACATATTCACAATGCAATTCTGACTTTTCCATAACACATTATAGCATGAAGTCCAATTATATTTATCAGATTCACTACAAATGACCGATTTAACATGCTTCAAAAATTACCTTTTGTATCAAATTTACAGAATATGAGTATGATGCAGAACTTTGTATTTTTTCAAAGAATTTGCAGAATTTGATAACTATTATTCAGACTGTACAAGAACTTTAAGCATTCTAATTAAT